AATCCCTAGTAACATCTTTGTCTTCATGCTGGGTGTAAACGCTCAAACTTTACTTGCACCTTCCTGACGACGTGGAATAAGCGGCACATCCCGTGATCCACAATGGACCATCAATCCTGGGAGAGAGGAGCGGACTGTCCAATCTCACCTTCAGCAACATAACGCAAAAGCCCTTTTGAATGTTTCACGTTCGTGGGTAGAGAATGACGGCCAGGGCTAACCTTTTATGGTAGAACTACCGACAAATTTTAAAGGGAACACTTTCCATGTCATTAAAATACTTCCTCTTCCAAACAATACTGGCTTTATACATTTATACAGCAAGCGATTAATGTTCTATTCAACTAACTAGTCAGCCAACATTAGGTTTTCCTATTTGGAAAACTAATTTCCTCTTACACTCATTCACAGGTTATGGCACTTTTAATCAGCGGTGATTACAACCAAATGTTCTTTGTCTTGTTATCGATCAGTTTTTCACAGAACCGTGCAGGAATCTTGGCCCGCTCTTCCATGCAGAACTGCTTACGATTAAGGATATTCTTGAATTAGGGAACATGAGCTGCTCCTATGAAATCCACCTAAATTGGGATCAGATCTGGATCTTGGCCCGTCCCAGTTTTTTCTCGTTTCTCAATGGATTTGACGCCAGCTTCCTGATGTCTTGATCCAGCAGCACTTGAGTTTACTTGTGGACGTGCTGGCACTCTCCTGCAGGATTCTTTGGCACAGCGATGAATTTATGGTTCTTTCAGTTACACCTCGTCCAGGTCCTGATGTAGCTAATTATCCCCACACTGAAACATGATTGTCATCAGGTTCTACCGCTGGATCTTAGCAGGCATCAAAAGGCTCACATCTGGCAGAAGGTTTCCACTACGTACTCACCTATCCTTCTGACATACAGTTGGTTTATATCAAACCTGAGATGAATAGTGATGTGGTTAGCGAACACTGGGGTTACACCCCAGCCATACACCCCAACTTTGCACATCACCCGGCTTCTGCACCTTCTAGGCATCATACCTCCTTGGACAATTTGATGTCTTTCACTTGAAGAGATGTTGGCACGACGGCCTTTAACTGAGAAGAATCCAGCTGTTCCAGAGTGTCCCAAGGTGGATGGTATAAAGGGCTTCGGAACCTTCTTCTGATTGTGCCATCATGTGCTTCTAGAACCTCATTGACCGCAAGGACCAAAGTCATTTCTAGAACCTCATTGATGGCAAGGACCAAAGTCATTTCTAGAACCTCATTGATGGCAAGGACCAAAGTCATCGCTGTTTAAACTGGGAATGGCTGGCTTATGTCAACCTTCATTGTCCACCAACTAAACATCCAACCTTAACGTTCCCCACACTATTGTATATTAAAAACAAATCACTCCTGAACACAGCTAGTAATATATACAATACATGTAAATATTGGTGATACATAGTTGTGTTTTACTTCACTCTCAGTATCAATATACAGTATGTCATCACAGCTCACAGCTCAGTCGTGGGTAGGGTCTTCTCTTGATGATTGCTTTTCATCAGTTAACATATCAACACTTCATAAGCATTATTGCTTATAAATGTTTTTATCTACTAGGTGCTTTGGAATGTATTTACACTGCTTGCCCTGCATTTCCCCAGCCTGTGCAAACAATGACATGCAGACGTTCTTTCATTATATAAATGAGCATTGTTTTCCAACCTGGCACATTTTAAACATGACTTAGAAATGTTGTTTATGAAACTGACTCGAGCTGATTGCACCACCGAAAACAACATTTAGTGAACACATCAGAATTTGGCATGGGAGATGTTATGGAATCCAGTTCAGAGTTACTGCACTCATATCCCTGGTGTGGGTGACTTATTGAAAACATCTGGAAGAAGTTGGATTAATTTTACACTTAATAGAATTCTGTATTTCTTTGGACTTCTGTAGGTTGGACCTTCTTTTGAAGAATATGCCAATTGATCATTACATTAATTAAATGTCCCATTTACAAAGGCTCAGCCCTCTTTGTTGTGGTGCCCCTGATGAGATTCTGTCCCCCCCCCCTCCACACCCCAGAGCAACAGAAAACTAATTTGGTCAATTCATTTACAATACAGACATTTCAGTAACCCATAAATGATAGGTGCCCCCAGCCTTGTTCCTAGCTGCTAGCTAACTAGCTCTCATTTGTTTCACAAGGAAAGTAATGAAATATTAAAACTACTGTATCTGTACTAAATCTGTATTAAGAGTATCTGCAATGTCCCAGCATGCAACCAGAGGTATGTCTTCTGATTTTTATCACTTACTCTTTTACGTCACCTAATCAATCGCCTATGTCACCTTTTGGGGGGGGTTGGCCCTGATTATTATTGTTTAGACTTTAAACTGCTTACTACTGTAGTAGCCGAGTGTCTGCATGACCCTGCGATGAGCTGGCTTTCTGGGTACACCGCAGCCTGTCGGTCTCATTCGCCGTGTGCTGCCGGGGACAGGTTATAGGTGACCCTGACCAGGATAAGCATTTGGATGGATGGATGGATGGATGGGTGAGTGGATGGATAGAATAGCTTTAATAAAATCTCTCTATTTAAAACAAAGTTATGAATAGTTCATGTGACATTAGATAAATGCACCAGACTCTTCAGCAAATGTAATTAGCCTGGGGGTGTTTTCATTCTTCATGTTCCTTTAGTGATTTGGTTGCAGGCTTCAAAGCAGTTTTTACACTGGGGTGTCCCTGTCTGCACCTTTTACCTGTCTGACAGAAAAAAAATCATCTCCTCAGTTTTAGTTCCATGTCTTTCATGAATTCCAACAGATTATGCTATTGGTTGCATCATAATAAATAAGGAGAGTGTACTGCAGACAGCATCAAAGTGAGACTGAAGGGCGCTTTGGGAACAAACTGCTTCACTCAGGTAGAGGGAACAGTCAACAGTGCTTGTAATGCTATTCCTTTAGGGCAGTGTTTCCCAATTTGGTCCTCGGGGACTACAGAAAGTCCATGTTTTTGCCATTTTTCCCTACCAGGACCTGGAGGGAGCAAAAATGTGGACTGTCTGGCAGGGAGCTCAGAGGGAGCAAAAACATGGACTGACTGTGAGTCCCCGAGGACCGGAGTGGGAAACTCTGCTTTAGGGCATTATGTTCCCACATGGATGCTACTGCCTGAAGGAAAGGAGTCCTGATATGCCAGTTAACTCATACAACATGGCTCATTTGATTAACCAAGACAATAAATAAATCACATTGATGGCCCCAGAATCTAGACAAGTCATTGAGAAAATTCAGGCAAATATCCTAATAGATCAAGTACTATTGTCTGCATTATATGAAATTTGTGAAAATATAATACAATTCACAGTCCATAAACCTGTTGGGTTTTGCAGATGTTCAGTAAGTTTTCTGTTTTATATCTGTGGCGTGTTTTCCCAACAAGTGTGTGAGTCTTTTTTGTTTTTTTATCCCAAGTTAATTTAAAATTACAAAACATATCCAGCCAGCATTTAACTTGTGTTAAAAAAAACAGCATTGTTGACAACTTCTCATTTTACAAGGATCTCTTTACTTGAAAAAATGGCACATATTTCTGCCTGATAGAGGCTGTAAATTAAAACAAATCTCTCCCCCTTTGGAACGATACTCAGAAACCAATTACTATCCATAAAATTTTCATGAACTGGACAGTTGGGCATCTGACGAGTCCTCATCAGAATTACGTTGCCCAGGCATCTAAAGATGAATCTACAACACATGGTAATTATTAAAGGTCAAGGTGAACAAGTTCAACTGTTCCAAATAATATGTGAGCTGTCACGTGTGTGTTGATTTCAGCTGTGTCACGTCCTGAACACGTCTGCCTGACCCTCTGGTTTCCTCCCTCACGTGGACCTCATGGGTCACACCTGATACTTGTTGCAATAGTCTATAAATTTAAGTGCCCCGTTGTCTCGTCCTCGCTTGTCCGGTCATTGACGTCGAACCCTCATGTGGCCTGCGCTCTTCCTTGCTTCACTCTTCCCATGTTTGATCCCTTGCGATCTTGTTTAATTCCAGTGGTTGTTCTTTTGATTTCAATAAACCTCCCTTTGTTTGCCTGCCCTCGAGTCTTTCGTCTCTCATTGCATGACAAGCTGGACAACTTACAGTAGTACACTTTAGTGTTGGGATTGGGTATAAACAGATCAGTTTAAGTGTCAAAGTACAATGTAGTTTATACGACACTAAAATGTTCTTTGTATCTTCAAAACCACTAGTTACCTAATATGGAAATTGAAAAGTGTAAATTAAAAAACTAAAAATTGAATGTAATGTTATTTAGTATGTTGTATGTATTGCACACAAACGGAGAGTTCATAAGAAGGAATATCACTAGTACATTCACTAACCTTGAATATATTCAGATACAGTTTTGTCAAAGTGATTATGTTCGCATGTGCTAACTGACTGCTGTCTAGTTTGCTGTTCACTTCACGGTGTGTATAATTTACGATGGCCTATTTCAGACATATGGATGTGTGATCATTTTTATTTGCACCAAAGGAATGCATGGCCCATCAGAAACTTTAGATCACACAAGCAAACAGGAAATGTGACAGATTCATTTGGATGAAAGTTTTCAGTGCCTGAGGCAAGGAGACAGAAAGACTGGTTTTCTTTTATAAATAGTCTGATGGATGCTGTAATGTTTGCTGAGCAATCCTTTCCCGTTTTATCCCCACGCAACGCGGCGTCCTGCCGTCACGAGTCAGGCGTCAGCTGTCCCGTGCGAATGCAGGGGACATGAAAGGAGAGCCCATATATCTAGACCCTTTGGTCACCGCGCACGGCCACCAAGCATTGTCCAGATTCGGGTTTCAGACCGACTCATGCTGTCAGGAAGGAAGGAGATTTGATGGCATCCCCCTTCAAAAATCCGGGTGACATCAGTTTGTGGTCAACTGCCCCCCCCCCCCCATGTGACGAGGCACCTTTCTCGTGGGTGGGAGGTGGCCGGAGACCCAGGTTGGTGCATGATCTCATTCGTGGGTTCATAACACATATAAAAGGTCCTTGACTGAGACACAGCAGCACAGACTGGATAAGACAAACTTCACAGAGGATCACTCAGCACAGAGCAGACATGGGGATTGTCCAAGAGCTGGTAGGTGGTCTCAACAAAGCTAGAACCGACCTTGAATACATAGCATTTTTTCCGTCATCCTTGAAACTAACCCCATATCGTTTTGTGGAAACATCTTCATCTTGATTTAATGTACATCCTGTTGATTAGCAGCACTAAGGGGGAATTCTGATCTGAAGGATATGCTCAAATAACTTGGGAAAAAAATTCAGAGCTCCTTGCTTAGCAGCTGGAGCAGAGCAAATTCAGAAGGGTCGGCTGCTAAAATCACATCGACAGTGTTCACACTAATAGCACGCTGCCTTAGTTAATCATAGCAAGTGTTTTCATATAGATACTCCAAGAACTACATATTTAACCCTGGGGGGAAGGGAGGCTTTAGTCCGCAACGGATTACAATTTCAATTAGAAGCTATCGTTTATCCTGAACTACTAATTGATTTTGTTGCATCACACATCCATATGTCTGTTGTTTTTTTTAAAGCACGTAGGCCACATTTTGGTTCTTTTCAGTAATTTAAACTAATTTCAGGAATGTAGTAGCATGGAAGTGGGATCATGGATCTAGAATTGATAAAACAGTCGGAAATTGCTGAAAGGCACATGATGTTCAGCCAGTGTGGCGTAAATGGCATCTTCTTTCTCACTTTCACTTCTCCGGTGCTTCTGCTCTCGCGTTTGTCAGAGAACTTGTATCATAAGGTGACCCTGGCCTGGGGTAATGAGGACAGGGACAGGGTTAGGCTTTGGGATCCCTACATAGGGAAATCACACTTTTAACCTTCTCTTCAAAGGTTTCCGGCAAGAAATGCGAGGGCAAAGAGAAGAGCGAGTTCCACCCGGGGCAGTTTGTCCGGGGGCAGTATGAGGCGACGATGAACACGGAGAAGCAGGATGGCGTCAGATCCCACTTAAGAGCGACGGCCGTCCCAGAAGGCGCTAATGAATTCAATTTGGACTCTTTAAAAGTACGTCCAGCTTGGTTTTGCTGGAGCTTTCATTAACAAACATAAATTTATAGTAATTATATTTATGTTTTTGCTGTAGCAGACATAATTGCTTTTTAAACTATAATCAAAAGTATTTTAAGGTACAGCCATAAGTAACATAACTTACCTAGAACTTGTATATACGTTTCAAATGCACCGTACTTGGCTGCCCAATGGACAACCTAGCAAATTATAAAAATGCACTTTATTGGTAATTTTTAACGGTAGTAGTTTCTGTTCCCGTGGCAGTTTCTAAAAAGCCTGTTCTCTGCTAGGTTGACAGTGCGGGCCGCTTGAAGCTCGAGACCGTAGAGGACCTTCACAACATCCTGCTGCTCAAGAAGAGGAAGAGGACGAAGAAGGTGCCAGCGCGTATCAAAGATCCAGAGCCAGACTTCATTGTAAGAGGAATAATCATTACCAGACCCTTTATTTTTTTGCAGGCGGCCGGGACCAGAGTGGCATCGCTCAATTCATGTTAGGAAATAACCTGTGCCTTGAACGTCCGTGCCTTCTTCTAGTAAGAAGCTATGGTAATTTACTGAGGAGGTAATCTTACCATCTGAATCTCACACAGCCCGACGTGGTGGATGAGGTGACATTCCTCAAATCGGCTGCCGAAAACAAATTGCCGGTGATCGAGAAATATCTGGCCGACGGTGGAAACCCCAGCGTCTGCGACCATGTGAGCATTTCAGTGACAGACACAGTGGCACGCCGCTCCGATGCCCCTGTCTGACAGAATAATGCTGATAGGAAGCGTTCTCCCCCTTCTTTTAATCCTCTAAGTTCAAGCGGACCGCGCTGCACCGGGCATGCTCCGAGGGCCACGTGGAGATCGGCAGGAAGCTCCTAGAGGCGGGAGCCTGCATCGATGACATAGATAAGGTACCAGCGGAGAGACGCGATTTGGGATATCGCGCGAGCCGTCGGCCGCATGTCTCACGTATGATTTGGTCCTCTCACAGCTGGAGTGCACCGCTGCCCACTGGGCCTGTCGGGGGGGACATCTACCCACACTGGAGCTGCTGCTCAGTCATAACGCCAAGATCGGAGCCAGGGATAAGGTAATAATGGCAGGGACATGATTCTCATGATGAGGGGGCTATCATTTGCATGCTAAAGGCCAGGTGCAGATTACTTAACAGCTTTTCCCCCCGGTCTGTTTCCCAGCTACACAGCACCCCTCTGCACGTCGCTGTCAGAACCGGACATTACGAGTGCGCTGAATACTTAATTCATTGCGGCGCGGACTTCAACGCCAAAGACAGAGTGAGTGCACAAGTCTTCGCATTAAAGCAAACCGGTGATGTTAAAAAAAAAAGGCCCTTAAGGTCATTTTCGGTTGTGTTCACCTAGGATGGAGACACGCCCCTTCACGATGCCGTGAGACTGAACAGATTTAAAATGATCGAACTACTTCTGCTCCATGGAGCCAAGCTGAGCATTAGGAACTGTGTAAGTACACACGCCCTGTCCCCACGCAGGATGAGCATGACCACAATGATGTGGCGTAATATTTAGTTCATTTATTAAGAAATTTTATGAGGATTTAAATTTTCACCTTTGGATTTTCACTAAGACCCTATACTATATATATATATATATATATATACACACACACACACACACACACAATATACGTAGTAACGACAGTGTACTTCAGTGCCATCTAGTGGTAGGGGAAAGGAAACGTTTTAATGTAAAACCTTTTTTTGGGTTACGTATTGCATATTTGGGATACAAACCAGAGACGATGACAAAATAAAGATTTCACAGTAATAATATCGGAGATTTGTATATTAAAACTCAATTTTATTTCAGGAAGGGAAAACGCCAATGGAAACTCTTCTGGAATGGCAAAGCGGAGCTAAAAATATTCTTGGCAATTTTAACATGTAGACAGACAATACAGACAAAAGTTCATACTGGTAATGGAATAACCATTGTATACAACCCTTTTCAACTGACGTTTCCAATATTGTCTCGAGACGGGCTGACTTGGAAAGAAGGCGCAGTTGATCATGCGTGCAGAGAATATCTTTTTATTAATAAACTTAATTGGTGATAGTGTTGCAGGGACGTGTGCCATGAAAAGCTGGCAACAGAATGCTGGTTTGGGAAACTGGGCTGCTGAATATAGATGAGATCTAAATAACATACTCATGCTTTGTCCTTCAAGTAACACAAATAAGGGACTTTATTTTTATAGATCAACTGCTATCACCATAGCACTACGTGGAAATAATACGTGGGCGTGGTCCTTGAAAAGCAAGACAAATTTAGGACTGACAACAGGCTGGTGAAAAATGTAAACAGTATGTTTACAAGAACCAAACAAAGTGGTTTGTAGAATGTTCTGAGCAGGGGAAGGCTGTCGTCCAAACTGGAAAGATTCAGAGAGACGAACATGGACACATTTGGGATTTAATGCACTTGCTGAAGTCACAGTAATTTTTTGTACTTAATGTAAAATGCTATGTACATTTTATTTGAATATTTAGTTTTAAATAAACATTTTAACTGATTTTTCTTGTGTGAACACCCTTCTTGTGTCTTATGTCTTGTATACATTTCTTAATATTTATATACTTCCAAAATTAGGCTGCTCTTTATCCTTATGAATGCCACAACGTAGTCATGTTTACGCATCCAAACACAACTCATTTCATACAGACTGCCCATAGATCAGTCATCATAACAGACTTATTACACACTTCAGATTAAAATCTGAGCAATACGCAAAAAATACATTTTTAAAAATAAACTGCTCTTAAAGTTCTCCGGTATGGGATCGAAAACGTTCCAAACTCCTGTGATAGTAATAATCAGGATAAACTCGAGTCACACGGTGTGAACTTTGGCTTTCTTTGACACCGGAGGTTCCCTGTCCTCGTCTTGCCCTTCTGCAGCGGGTAGCATCCTCTTCGTTGTATGTATGATCCCCAGGGCAGTCTTTCGGGTTTCTGCGGAAAAGCAGTACATTAGCCCGCTTGTACTTAACAGGTAGAACAGGAGCCTCAGGCGGGCTTTACGGTCAGCTGAAGAGACCCATTCGCCACATTCCAGACGCATCAAAACAAGCGGCAGAATGAATAGCGGCAGGTCACTGAAATACAGCCCGAGGGCTGAAATGAATGCCTTATTGGAGTCATGCAGTCGTACCTCCGTGCAACAGGACGGCGCGGCAGTTGGTAGAAACGGCAGCTTTGGCATCGCCCTCAGACAGTCCGAAGAGCAGCCCCCTGAGCCCCCAGTTCAGGATCATAGCGGTACTTCATCCACGCGGTACGGATCCGGGGTCAGCCAGATCGGCAGCGGGCAACTAATGACCTCAGAACATCAGACCTTACAAAAGGCTGCTCATTGTAGCAGAGATCATGTCCTTAATGACTGGCAACACAAAACTGCTGTGAACTTACACACTGCAGCTTAGCGGTGCAGAGAAGCTTCTAGTAGGGAAGAAGCAGAAGCAATAAAAATAGAAGCATAAAAATTACAGGGAATTTAATGAATAAACACGTTTGTATTTCCAATTAGGTAAATTGACTTGGGAGGCATGGTGGTCAGAGGTTAACTTAACACTGCCACTTGACATCTCTGGGACCAGGGTTTGAGCCTCCGCCCAGGCTCTGCATGTGTGGGGACTGCATGTTCGCTCTTTGCTGCTGAGGAATTTCTGCCACCTTGCATAGGACCCGCAGCTATAAAAGACGGATCGATATACTGACTTTTATCAAGTAATAAAACTGAACAGATCTTTGACAAACACCCGTTTTCCAGAAAGGATACAAATTTGCGATGTCGTAAGGTCCTCTTAACTCAAGGGGCTTGAAACAGAGAAAACCACGGTTAATGTAAATTTGGTATAAAGATCCAAAGGCAAAAAAAGAAAGATTGTACACAAGTTTGATTTGCTGTTTGATGTTCAAATTCAATATTTCTGAATAGATCACACTTTGTCAATTTCTTTAACAATACAGGAAAACAGCAAAATACTCAAGTGTAGCTGCCTCTGTTCCAATTGTCAGGTGATTAGAGAGTGAGAAAAAAAAACACACTGGGCTCATAGTAATGTCATCCTTTTTTGTATGCCAATATTTTGACAAGATGGAACTTACCATTTCAGCCCCACTAGATACAATTACATTCTGTAAGGAGAATTAAAAAAGGGGAACTTTAAACAGAATCTATGAATACACACATCAGCATCATTGTTGCATCACACTTGCCTTTCCTTTACATGTCTCCATCAGATTGATGGCGTTAGAGATGGTGTATCTTCTCATGGTCGAGTCCTTGATTGCTGAAGCATAGCTAATCTCAAAGAACACTCCTCTCTCAATTGCCTAGGAAAACAGAATAAAGGATAAAGCCACTCCTGTTTATTCAACTAGATTAATAATCACAATATCAATGTTTACTATGAAAATAATAGCTATGTCATGCTCAGAATACTAACAGAACTGAAAGGTAGCATGAATCAATTTATTTCTGCTATGTCATTACCACTACATTAATATTTTCAGAGTAGAAATACTGTTAATTTTATTTTTAAAAACCCATCTGCTTATCCTAATCAGGGTGGCGGGGGGTCCACAGCCTATCCCAGAGGTTACAGGCACAAAGCAGGGAACAACCCAGGATTGGGTGCTGACTCATTGCAGGACACACACACATCATTCACACCTACAGTACAGGCAATTTGGGAAGTCCAATTAACTTCAGCATGTTTTTGGACTGTGGGGGAAAACCAGAGTACCCAGAGGAAACCCCACNGTGTGTGTGTGTGTGTGTGTGTGTGTTTGGCATGTGATGAACTGGCATCCTGTCCTGGGTGCCCCCAGCCTTGTTCCTCATGCTGCCTGGGACTGGCTACAGACCCCCTCATGATATAACATTGGAAGATGGATGGATGGATTTATTTTAATGGCATCCTCTCTGCCTAAAGTAATATTTGGAATATTAATGCAATGAAAAAGCAAACATTTACAGTACGATTGTGTGTTTGTTTGTGTGCATCTGGTGGTTTTGCATCCATATGTTACACTTTGTCTTTGCAGTTATATAAGTAACTCTCTTTTCTCCTTTGCTGGTAGATCTAATGAGAGGGGAGTATAACAGGCTTGTACTTTGTGAAAGTGATACAGTACATGTTGTTGGGGCGGCTTCCTGTTAAAGGGTTTGACCTGGATAACTGTTGTCTTAACCCTAGTTTCTTGAATTCGGTCATGACTGGCATGTTCAATTGTCCCCTTGGCTAATTAGAATGTATTATTTTTTTGAAGAGAGCATTTGACACTGAGACAGATATAGCAGTGGTTCTATTGCAGTGTTGAGTGATGTGTTGTATTCCATTTAGTGCCTATATTTTTTAGGCATTAATGATAGGATTTTTAGCTGAAAGCAAACGTAGATTTTTAATGTAACTGACATAAAATGAAAGCACGTAACAGAAACCTTGGCAGTACAGCAAGCGAGCAGTTAAGTTTACTCTTGGGTAAGAATATTGAGATCATCATATACTGAGTGGATCGTGGTCTCACACTGTTTGAAGTCTTGCATAAGAAGCCACCCAAGGGATCAACTGACATGAAAAATGTTCTTAGAAAGAACTGCTCAGTTCTGTATATTCTGTGGATTTTTTTTCCACATGTAGGTAAATAACCTCGAAGCTGCATTTTGAATTGATAGGTTACTTTAGGATGGATGGAGTATTTCATTCAGTCTGAAGAAGTGACATCAGAAAGAGGCTGTTGTCTTTTAAGGCTGGGTGGTATATCGATAAAATATCGCACCGCAACTATAAACATTCATGTCGTCATCAGTTTGAATATCGTACTGAGATATAGCCCACACACTTGTTTTTTTGCATAACTGACAGTTAAAATGCACTTTTTGCAAATTTTACACAAATTCCACCAAGGTATGAGTCTGTTGTTGGCATAATATGCTATTATACCGATCACACGCTCATAGTAACTATTATTAAAACAATATGTCATCATAATCAGAAAAACGTTTATTTGTATTTTACTGTATTCTACATATTAATTTTAGAACATTGTGATAAATATCAATATTTTGAATATCTCTAAAAATATTGTGATATCATTTTTAGGGCATGTCACCCATCCCTTATCAAACCCTGGAAGGAAACTATGAACAAAATGTACTGTTGGTGTTTGGTGATGGTTTGGTGATGGTGTTCTGAATCTGCTTAATTCAAAAAAAAATTTAAACAAAAATGGAGCATCGCAGTAAAGAAAGAATGTCATGAATTATATCATGATAATTTTCGATATTGTTTGATATGAAAAAATGTGGGTGTTCTTTGCTTACGTATTCAATGCACAGCTACACAGGCTGGTATCACAGGGAAATTTCTTTAATGTGACAACTTGGTACATAGCAGTGGGACCCCAGGTGGTACAAGACAACCTTGTCTGATATTTATGAACTACTTTGGTATCTAATATTTGTCTTATACCTTTCTTTTTGAAAATTTTGGTGCTTCTTATTGAACCAAGGATTCTTGGGAAATTGAGGATTAGAAAGTAGAATGGTGTAATTAAAAATATCAAGATTGACAGATTTGGGACAATCACTCCGAAAAGGTACTAAAATCTAGAAAATTCTACTAATTTGCAAACTGTATTTATAATTTTGGCATAAAAATGGAACCGAAATGTCTTCTGTGCCACTATATAGGTCATTTTTTTGGAAAACCACAGTATATCTGAAAACAAACAAACAAACAAACAAACAAAACAAGTTAGAAGCAGAAAACAGCATATGTGCGTGTGAATTTAATATCTTTTTTGGTGCATTTATGCTCATGACTCTTTATGGAAGCCTCCATTTCCAGAATAGGTAGCTCATTACTGTGTCACACGTCCTTCCGTTCCTAGTTTGCCAGCACTTCGGTGCCGTATTACCCATCGGTACTGTGTCATTTACTGCAAGGTGCCGTTCATTGCAGAGTAAGCCCTGTAATTATTTATGCACTTACCAGCACACTCGGGATCTCAAGATCAAAGTGGTCTTATCATCCTGAGCCTTGCAGCAATTACACTTTGGTCTGGAACAGTGCTGTCATTAGCTAGGTTTTGCCTGTGGTACATTTAGGTACCTTAGAGTTGAATGGACCTGTTTTTTTTATAAATGTTACTTTTCTAATGGTATGCTGTCATCCAAGAGGTGGTATAGGGCATATTGATAGAAAACAGTGATTAAGTTTTTTATAGCTTTTTAGACAAAGGCAAAAAGTGGAATGGGAAATGGATGTTTCTGCATTAATTACAGCTCGAGTGTTTTTGTACTAATCAAGGGAAGTGGATTGACCTACAGAAACACAGACAAGCCCGGGGAAAACTCCAGGCACCTATTTTAAACCCCACGCTGAGGCAGGATAAGATGAGAGACCATAATTTATATGGCGGGGCCAGCGTTTTCATTAGCCAATCATGTGCTTTGAATCTGTGAGTGACAGTACTCCAAGGGCCAATCAGTTTTCAGCTGAGGCCAG